CTAAGAGAGACTTACATAGATCTAATCTACGTGGGAAATAGAAAAAGTCAAGATCTTCTGAGTAAATTGGGAGCATGGGGACCTTTGGAGAGAGTTGAAGGAAAGGGGAAAGGCAGGGAGAAGAACAGATAAAAATGTAGAGTTCAATTAAAATCAATAAAATTTTTTAAAAAAAACTGTAAAATGGAACTTAGCCTGCTGTGGTGGTGCATGCCTGTAGTCTCTGACACTTGGGAAGCTGATGCTGGAGAATCACTTTAGCCTCAGCAACATAGCAAGACCCCCATCTCAACAACAACACAATTGAAGTTGCAAAAGTAGAAAGAAAAATAGTGATTACCCGAGGATGAGGAAGGAAGAGCAGGAACATGGAAGTTGGCTAAGAGGTACGAAAACACAGTTAGATAAGAGGACTAAGTTCTAGTGTTCTGTAACACCATTGGTAATGATTTATTGTGTGTTTTAAAATAGATAGAGCCGAGGATTGGGTGTCCACACAGAGAAATGACAAATGTTTGAAGTAGCAAAGATGATAGCTGCGTTCCATGTCATAGACATGAATAATGACCCCATGATGCTGTGATGATATTGCTAACTACCGTGAGTTGGTTATTCCATGTGGTATATATGAATCTCTATCATTCATACCTTAAATATGGACGATTGTTATGAACCAATTAAAAACAAAAAGCCCATTCAGGGCTAGAGATGTGGTTCAGTAGTACAGCACCTTCCTGGCATATACAAGGCCTTGGGTCCCATCCTTAGTGCCTGCATCAATAAATAAACAAATAAACACATCCAATGGAGGGACCCTATTTCTCAAATGTCTCTGACTTTCACTTTGCCCTCGATACTTCAAAAGTCCATCCTTTCTCGGACACAGAGTTGTGGAGAGATGTGTCTATTTTTAATGTCCTCCTATATTGTGACTTGAAAGAGTCTTAAAAACGTAAAGCCGGGTTGCCCTCTTTGGAAAAGCAGAAGCAGCTTTTCCAGCCGGGACCCTGCTGCTGCAGTTACTAAGGAGACCAACTGGCTGGAGGCGCCTTAATTCATCAGTAAATCCTGGGTGGCCACATACCTGGGAGGAAGGGGCTCTCGGCCTTGGGAGGGGGCGATAACTCGGTAGGTGGAGGTTGGTGGAGTTGTTCAGAAGTGGCAAGGTTCTGAGCACGTTCTCCCTCCGCAGTTCCTCTTGAGTGGGTTCGATAGCCTGTTCTAAAAGTCTGCTCCATTTGTCTTAAGACTCACCTGTGGGGACCGTAGGAGTCTGCTCCTTCGTTACCACCTGCTACAGTCCTCAGCTTGGGCCCTTCTCCCGAGAGAGGAAAACCAGCAAAAGCAGGATAGATGAGGTGAGGTGGCCTCCTTCATCAAGTGCATTGGCGACTTTCTCCTCGCTGCTACCGAAAGCTGGCAGAACCACATAACCGAAGATGGGTTGGCTCTCCAGAGGGCGGTAGTCCATCATGGCGCCAGTAGCATATGGTGAGCACCCTTCACAAGATGGTCAGCAACCAGCCCAACCTCCTAAAAGCTCCACAGCCTTCCAAATGGCAGGAGACTGAATATTCAAAACAGCCTATGGGGGACGCTTAGGACTCAACCAGAATATGATTGTGAGTGTGTGTGTGTGTGTGTGTGTGTGTGTGTGTGTGTGTGTATGTGTGTGTAGAACAAAGAACAACCACAGCATCTATCATCAGTCACCAACCATCTTGTTTTTGAGACACAGTCTCTCATTGGCCTGGTACTGTTGTTTGCCAAGTAGGCCATACTGACTGGCTGGCTAGGCCAGGCATCTACCTGACAGACATCCTTCCCCAAGGCTGAGATTAAAAGTGCACACCAGCATACCTGGCTTTTTAAAATATATATATATATATAAACCTATATATATAGGTTCTGGGATGTCAAATCCAAGTTACCATGCTTACAAAGTAGGCCCTTTACTGAGCTGTTTTCCTAGGGTGTCTGTTCAGTCAGGAAAACAAAGGGGAGCTTGTGACTCTCTAACCAGTCACCATGCTGTGCGACAGGAAAGACAAGGACCCCACAACATGATGAGTCTGTAGCAAGGTACACAAGAGAAAGCCATCACGGAATGACAAACGTGTACTCTGCTTTCTGAAGCGTGTGTTCCCTCCCTGGGCTCATCCCACCCCTCCCCTCTATCTTAGAAATAGCCTGATGGGACACATATCTCCATTCGACTCCCAGAGAACCTCCAGGCTGCTGACTTCACCTCTCTCATTTGATAAACGAGAAAGAAAACGTCAGAGGAGGTGACTCCTCACGCTCACTTTTTTTCTTTCCTTGGCTGTGGCATAGGAAAGTATTTAGCTCTCTCAACATTCTTTTTTGGTTTGTTTTTTATATTTGTAACAGGGTTTCTCTATGTAGTCCTGGCTGTCCTGGAACTCACTCTGTAGACCAGGCTGGCCTTAAACCCAAAGATCCACCTACCTCTGCCTCCTATGTGCTGGGATTAAAGGTGTGTGCACCATCACCAGCATCGCTCAACATTCTAAGAATGAATGCAAAACATAAAATCCAAATCAATGGCTTAAACAAAAGTGTGGCCTGGCTCTCACCGCTGTCCCCCTTTTGTCTTGTGACTGTAGTGTCTAGCCTGCCTGGCCCTGGATGGCGAAGACATTCTGTCACAGTCACTGTGAGATGGTGTGTGCTGGGGACTATGGGTACAGTAAAGAAAGAATTCAGCAGGAGAACTGAGTCAGCCTCTGAAAACAGACTTGCAGCTGGGTCCTGATGAGTGAAAGATTCCCGCTGAGACCGGAAGAACTTCCCTGCTGAGCCCCGCCTGAATCCCCAGTCTGTAGAATCATGAGACAGGCACGATTGGTTCTGTTGTGTTAAGCCTCTACCTTTGGCATTAAACGTAACACAGCAACGTAATACTGAACCATTGATGATGTTGAAAATAAAGCTTTGAGGGTTGTTTTTTCCCCCCTTCAAAAAACAGCAGTCTGATGGTTGGAAGTCTAGGATCAATATGGCCGGTTCATGGCCATGGGAGACCCAGAACTGTCTTTTTGACGTTGAATCACCTTTTTAGCCTATGAATTCTGTGATGGGTAATAGTGTCAACTCGATGGGATTTAGAATCATAGAACCAAACCTCTGGGTGTGTCTGTGGGGGAGCTTCTCAACTAGGTAAACTGAGGCAGAAAGACCCACCCTAAGTGTAGGTAGCAACATTCCTTTGGCTGGGAATCCCAGACTGAACAAAAAGAAGAAACGGAACTGAGTACCAGCGTGCATTGCTCTCTGCTTGCTGAGTGTGACTGCAATGTGACCAGCGGCATCAGACTCCATCCAGTTCTTCCCACCAAGGCAAACTGTATGTACCCTCAAACTGTGAGCCAAAATACACCCTTCCCCCTTAGTTTGTTGAGTATTTATTTCCCAGCAACAAGAAAAGTAGCCGGTAACCATACGGCTTTCTACTGCGAAGTTGCCTCCAGATCCAGGATAGTGGCTAGAGCTCCGGCAATCATACATGTGTTCCAGGAAAGGAGGAACAGGGGAGAGGGAAAGCCTCCACTGCCTGAGTGGACACCTTCAAAAGAACTTCCTCAAAACCCCACCTAAAGACCAGTGGTTTGACTCTCACTGGCGGCCTCAGCCGCACCAAAGGCCAGGGAAATGCGGAGTTTTAGCTGAGCAGGCTGTCACTTTGAATACCATCAAACCCCTGCTCAATAAGGAATAACAAGGGGATGGGAACATTGGGCAGCCAGCCAGCAACATCTGCCACAGCACATATGAGATGAGGCTCCATACCCAGGACCCCAAAGTACAGCAAGATGCAAAACCGCCCCCCCCACATCCCTTGCCATACAGAGGTCATGTTGACTTCCCGAAGAGTTTGTCCTGGCTGCTTTGGCCCGTGGTGAGGAAGTGGACTTCAGAGATCTCAGTGCCACGTGGGCAAGCTGGTTGCCTGGACCTTTTCGCCAGGAACGTACACGAGTGGGAATTTTTTCCTCGGGACTTGTTCTTCACCTAGACAAGTGTTTGCTGTTTGCTTTCTGTTGCACTATAATTTCAACAGGACAACCGTCGCCACTCAAAAGCATGCTTCCGACACATTTAAACCCCGTGCCCATGAGCTGCCAGGGCAAGCGCTTCCCTCCACCCTCCTCTGCCAAGTCCCCAGTCCACCAAGAGCTAGATGTGCAAATGCTTGCTCTCATTGGATGATGAAAGCCTTGCATCCCGGAATATTTTAAATCTTAGGAGAATGAAGCACAGGGCCCTGGTTCAGTACTCCTGAAGCAAGGAAAGGAGATCCATGGTGTTAGGCTGGACTCTGCCTGTGAGCCACCTGTCTGCAACATGCTCCCTGCCTGAGCTAAGCAGGAAATCGGAATTCTGCAACAGGGCCCGGGGTGGTTTCAGCAGCCTCCAATATCCTAAGGTGCAGCGGCAGCTTGGAAACCCCCTAGATGCTGATGGAAGACCTCAGGTGGCACCAACTCGAGGGACAAGACAGTGAGATGGGAGAGAACACAACCCTAGCATTTACTAAAGGCCTACATGTCCCAGATACAAACACAGTTTCAACACTCTGCTCCCAGCTTGGGAGTCGGTGCACCCATTCTACGGAAGGGAATCCGAGACTCGCAGGAGACGCACCTGCTCCGAGGGAGAAAGCTGAAATCTCAGGGCCCCCACCGAGCTCTTGCTCTGTGGTGTGTGCTGTACCGTGCTGAGGGCACCTGTGGAAACTGCCTCCAGAGCCACCCTGGTGTGGCCTAGAGCTTGCCACCCCAGTGGGGTCAGGACATCAGGAGGGAGCTCAGCTCACCCCTTCTCTGCGCCGGTGGGAGGTGGGCACGAGCTCCCCCTCTCTCCCGTGTGCTGCCTGAGCCTCACTCCTCAGGCAGAGAGGGTACTGAAGGAGACTACAGGATTTGGGGTCTGCTTCATCCCTTGTCATCAGGAGTCTGTTTTTTTCTGAGTGACTTGCCAGCTCTCCCTGCCTGGCCATCCTCACAGTGGCTCTGAAAGCAACCGGAGAGGCAGCTGAGGGATCCTGGCTGATCCGGAGTCCAGGTGAAGCAGGCTAGAGGCTGGATTGATGGGGAGGTTGGCGTGTCACAAGTCTGAACGCAGAGCAGGGGAGGGGGCCGGGCAGGCAGGATTGTAGTTGGGTTGTTCGGTTGATGAAGGGGGTCAGCGTAGGCATGTGTCATCGTCGAGGTAGGCAGGGAAGGGGAGGGCTGTGCGTGGGGGGGGGGGGAGGATATATATGCTGGTGTGGCTGACACAGAGGAACAAGCCTCACATCTGAGAGAGCCCTGTAACAGACAGCGTCAGGTAGGCAATGCATGTGGTGCCAACACCAGCCGGCCGGCACTATCTGCCTGGAAGCTCTGGGGAAAGCAGGAAAGCCTGGCCGGCCCCTCCACCTCTGTCTTTTGTCCACTGTGGCTGCTTGCTGGCCTCTTGTGAGATTATGGCTTCATTCATCTTATTCTCTGTGTTCCGATGGTAGAGAAGGGGGAGGGCGGAGGGCTGGCTAAGCTCAAAGAGAAATGCGAGAGAACGCTAAACTTGGAAATGAGGAAAAGTTTTGCTTTCCCGGTTGTGGCCCCTACTGGGTGACAGATACACATGGAAGAGGTGGCTACAGGAGAGAGGGCAGACCCTGGGAAGGGGCTTGCCATTCAGAGCAGCCCAGGGAAGCCCCCGGCACACCTTATGGGGATTTTTCATTCTGTGGCTTCCTGCCCTTTGTGTAAGCTGCCGCTCTGGTGTCGTTGGATCTGATGTCATTCTGGTTGGAGTTCTCTTATACCTTAATGGAAATTGTTAACAGTATGGAGAAAAGACAGACCCGAGGGCTGGGCTTCTCCTGTGTGCAAGGCTGAACGCAGTCAGTCGCTGGCTGGGTGGATTTCATGGGCATTTCCGAAGGCATGACCTTGGTCCTCCGGATCCGGGCTTGTTTCGAGGTATCCTTTCTCTCTTGACATCTTTCCACTGCCCGTCTGTCCCATCCAAAGGTCTCTCTACCCAGGTCGCATGGAACTCTCGCACACGTCAGAGCATCTGAACTCTCTCTGCCCTCTCTCAGCCTTCTCCTTCTCCTCCTCCTCTCTTTGTGAGTCTCGTTCCCCCCGCCCTTCTCTACCCATCGTCTTCTCTCCCCCATCTCTCTTCGGCAAGTTCGGAGGGGAATTTCAAGTCAGGCAGGATGATTTGGAAAGGGGGCTATTTAAAGCATGCTGCTTTGGACTTGAATACCCCAAGCCTGGGCTTAAACATCTGTGTTTAGCTTCCTCCAGCAGCTCATAATTGCCCCAATTATAACCAATAACATTGTTCAGCAGACTAACAAAAGCTGAGCTCCACACGGCATTTGCTAGCAAGCCCAAACGAGAGTTTTCATCGCAGAGGGAGAAAAGTAACTGCCCGGCTTCGTATCAAAACCTCGCAGAGAGAATGCTGTGGTTGCTTGCTGCCTGTGGGTGGGTGCTGCACACACCCTCCTTTTTCTCATTTATGGAGCCTAGCAGGGAAATATTCTACAAGCTTCCATCAGTGCCATGATACCTTAACAGAAAGGATTTGTATTCCTTGGGCTTCCTGAGTCTTCTGCAGGGACAGCTGCCCCCAGACATCACCTGCGTAGTAAAAGGAACAGCGCACTTTTCCAGGTGACAGCCAGCGCTGTCTGCGGAAGGTGCTCTGGTGCCGCTGAGAGTCTTCTTCAGGTGCAGCATCCCTTCCTTATCGGCTGAAGTCGGAGGGCACTTAGGGCTGCAGTAAGCTCGGCAGGTTTTGCATCGCCAGTGAAGGGAGTAATTGCAGGATTAGACGTTAGCGGAGCCTGAGAATGGAGCTGTCACCAAGCAATTCCGTCTTCAATCAATCAGGTATTTATCAGCTACACCCCACCAGGCAAGGAGAGGCACGGGGCTCTATAGATTCAGCAGAGGTGCTAATAACAGCACTTTACTCGGTGCAATGATTTACGCACTTCGCACCCATTATCTCCCGCAGCAACCCTGGAAGGAAAAAAATCATTATCTCGGAGTTGCAGGAACAAGACCCCCGGTGCAGCAAGCAAGCCCAGCTCAGGGCAGCCGTCCTAGGTCTGGTGCTCGCTCCTCTTAAGGTCTGTGGTGCTGGTAAATGAGTTGCAGGCACACAGCACAGACGGACAGGAAGCAATTCGAGATAATGGGATAATACAGGACTGGGTGGGATCAGTCCTGCACTTGTGGTCCAGAGAGTCAATGTTGGAGGACCTTGAGGAAGGGTATCTTCCTCCAGGGACTGAGGCCAGTGGAAAGAGGGATGGACTCAGGATGGACCAGAGGTCTGAAGGCAGGTAGGACAAAGGCACAAAAGAAAGGCAAAAGAATTAGCATTTCTTGAAGTCACGAATGGCAGGCAGTAAGCTAAACTTGGCTATCTATTTATTTCACACACACACACACACACACACACACACACACACGGCAATAATGAGAGGCTCGATCCTGTATTGTGTACTTGCAATAATGTGGTTCCAAGACCCTCCCCCGACTCCTCAACTCACACAGACCATAAGGAAATGTCTAAGTCTCCTGTACTCTGGGTCATTAGGTATTTTAGGAAAGGATGAACTCATCTCAGAAAATGAGAGGCTTCAATACCTCAGCTTTTGGGGGTTTGAGTTCTTGGGAACTCATTGGACAAATGGGATCTTTGAAACACTTCTCTTTTGATGCTCACGGCTGCTCCAACCATCTCATATAGACCATGCAATTCTAACCACAAACTCTAGCTGTGAGGTCCAGGGCACACCAATTTTTTTGGGGGGGGGTTGAGGGGAAGGGAACACAAGTTGATCTTCTGAGCATTGTCTCCCTCCATAGGCTACAATCACTTTAATCATCGACTTTGCATGGTCCTGGGTCTGCCAAAATCCTGGCAGCTGCTTAGGCGTTGCAGCAGCATAGACCAGCCAGGTGGGAAAAGCTGGACCTGCCTCCCTGATAGGCAGCCAAGGCTCTGCAGCCCTGCAGCGTCATAGTCAGCCTCCCTTCTCCTCATGCCAGTCCTGTGATCTTCCCCCACCCTGTCACCCCATTCATCCTTTCATTCATCCAACTGGGAGCGTGCGTAGTGTCCCTGATAGGAGCCGAACAGTGCATGTGCCCGTAGTGCAGAACTGTCCGTCATCAGCTTCCTCCCAACTCACAGCTAAAGTCTCAAAATGGGAATGAGCCCAGACCAGTGGTCTCCAAAGGGGCTTACCCACCCAGGTACCTGCTAGGTTACTAGAAATTGAGGTGTTAAATTTTTTTTTTATTTTGACACACAGGTGCACACGACACACACATGCACATAAGAACACTTTCTCCTGCAGTCATCCCATGTGAAAGCCAGAGGTCAACATCAGGCTATTGTTCTCCACCTTATTTGAACAGAATCTCTCGTTAAACCTGGAGACCCAAGGTTAGCTAGGCTGACGGGAAGCAAGCCAGCAAGATCCACTTGTCTCTGCCCCCAGCCTCCGCACTGGGGTTAGAGGTACACAATGCCACTCCTGGATTTTTATCAGAGTTCTGGGGTTCTGAGCACGTGTCTTTACTCTTGTGCAGCAAGCATGTTATACACTGAGTCATCACCCCACCCCCCCCAAATCTTACCTTACTTAATTTGCACGTTAGTGGATTTTATATAATATATGTAACATTCGTGGAGAGGTTGGAAATGTATATCCAAAACTGATTCCTTGTGTCACCGTGGTTAATGACAATTAATTCTTTATTTCAGAATAACTAGAGGATTTAGAATGTTTACTACGCAAAGGAATCGTAAATGTTCAAGGCAATGGATGTACAACTACCCTGATCTGATTGTTAAACATTGCACATATGTGTGGAAATAACACACTGTACTTCCATAAATAGTTATAATTGTGTCAATTAAAACTTTCTTTAAAACTGGTTGCTAGAGATGGAAAATTAAAGAAGCTGGAAGATTATATGAGTCTAGATTCGTCATTCTCTTCATATTTGGGTTTTCTGATCATTTTTAAAAGAACCTAGAGTGAATTTATAAAAGTAAACAAAAGCTTTAAAAGTCCATTTAAACTATCCTGACAGAGTACGTGGTAGCATTCGCCAGAATCAGGAAGGTGAACATTAAGAGCACTCGCTTGCGATGTGTGACAGCCAAAAGGACATGCGTCTGGCTTCCCTCCTGGCCCTTTGTGAGAGCCAGATGCACCTTCATGACCTTCATTTGGGGTTGTCTGGAGTCACTACCCTGTGCTCTCCTCTCCTCCCCTCCTTACTTCTCCTACTGGTAGAAGGCAATCCTGGCCATTCAAAAAAATCAAAGGGTATTATTAACCATCTCGTGCAACTGTCTGCTTTATAGAAAGAGAAACTGAGGCCCAGGAAAAGACAAGTGTCATGCCTAAGATCTCACAAGTAGCAACAGAACCAGATTTAGAACCCAGGACCATGTCTCCAATCACAGGGCTCTTTCTCATTTACAGCTCTGCCTGAGCACCATTGGTCACATAGTGTAGACGGGGGGCCTTGGTCCACATAGTGTAGACAGGGTCCTTGGTTCACATAGTATAGACATGCGCCTTGGTCCACATAGTGTAGACAGGGGCCTTGGTCCACATAGTGTAGACAGGGGCCTTGATTCACATAGTGTAGACAGGGGCCGTGGTCTGCATAGTATAAACATGTGCCTTGGTCCACATAGTATAAACATGTGCCTTGGTCCACATAGTGTAGGCAGGAGCCTTGGTCCACATAGTGTAGGCAGGTTCCTTAGTTCACATAGGGTAGACAGATGCTTTATGCCCTAATTCCCTTGTCCTTCCCCTTCTCTCTGAGTAGAAATTGAGAGCAGGAGAGAGACCTTTTAAGAGTAAATGCATCTATCACAGGAAAGAAAAACAGCAGTCTCCCTGGGTAAAAGCAAGCCATACTCTATATGGAAGTTTTAGCTGTTGCTACCCCAGAGTTTTGTTCCCTGGGCTATGAGAAACCCTGTGACTCTTTGATGTTTCTATTAGAGAACAAGGGTGGGACTCC